ATTCCCGGTACCTAGGAATCGATTCTGGTACTTAACGGTATCAATTTTTGATACTTTTGAGTGTTTAATATTTTAATTCTCTTTTATAATTAAATACATATTTTTCTCAATTTATAACCCTATTTGATAAATATCACGATAAATAACATACAACTGTTTGTATTTTAACATCGTCCTTGTAGTTTTATAAGCTGATAATTAAACTGAAGCAAACATCTTTACTGTGAACTAAATTTACTGTGTATCTTCATTCCTTTTGCCGTCCTTTTTCATTTGATTTTTCCTACTGGGAAGTTAGAATTTCCGAGGAGAAAGCAAATGCACCATTAGCTGATAACAATGGTGGCAATGGAAGCTAGCATATCAAGCTAACGTTATCTTAAACCATTTATTTAGCTGCTGGAGCAGATTAAAACGATGATGTCTCACACTTAAATCGTTGTCGCTGGTTTCATCTTCACCCAATCACCCGTCGCACTTAGTAAAGTGAAGCCAAACTTTAGAGCGCGTTCATGTTCTTCTAGTCGGAAATTCGGAGTTCCGAGGAGAAAGTGAACGCACCGTTAGCGGAATGGAAGCTAACATATCAAGCTAACGTTATCTTAACATTTTATTTACCTACCGGAGCAGATTAGGATGAGGATGTCTCACTTAGATCGTTGTTGCTGGTTTCATCATCACCCAGTTATCCATCACATTTAGTGAAGTGGACCCAAGCTTTAGCGTGCGTTCTTTCTTTTGCTGCTCTGTTTACTACTGGCTCACAGTGACCGACGACATAACGGTCTTGCGCATGCGCAGCTGTCTAGGCAGGTTCTCGTTATGAAGGACGGGTACCGAAACGAGGCACCGTTTCAAATGACGTGAATCGGTGCTCAGTCGGTACTATGGAATTCGGTCGGTACCTTAAAAAGTACCGAATTCGGTACCCATCGCTACTTCCATATTAATGTTTTTATTAAGCATAAAGCAGCTGTGTTGTTAATAAGTAGCAGTCAGTATTTTATTTCTACTTCTGTTATGATTAACACACTCACTGCCAGCCATTTCCAGATCAGTGAAGCCCTTCGCTGCCAGCGGTTTTCAGCATTTTTACTGTTTTTTTCAGAGTCACAGAACGTTGCGCGCTATGATGATGTCACACCAAAACTACCAAAACAAAGAGTAGAGTCACCTCTTACATCAAGAAGAATCTGCGAGTTTTGAGCGTTATCCATACTTTCATAATCCGTTGTCAAATTGTGATCGGCAGAAGCTTTTCCGGTTCGCGCCTCCCTTTTTCTACAGCAGTGGCCCAAAACGATCTCCTAACACATGGACTTTCTGCTTCCTGATCACGTGACGTGTGACGTACGCGGATGAAGATCGGCTTTAGAGCTGGGATGTTTGCTCTCACGGTGCGGGGGCTCGTTCCGACGCCCACACAGTAAAAAAAAAAAATGCAAATGACGACTTTAAACAACACCTGGGAGTAAGGGCAGGGAAACTGGGACTTGGGCAACAAGATAATTACTGGGGAATACAACTAAACTGGGGAACACAAGGAGAAAATGGGTGCTGGGAAAAATGTAAACAGAAGTTAACTGAGGAATAACCATAGAAGATTAAATAACTATAAGAAAACTGCTAAGGAAATACAGGGGTCAAGGGTCACTGATACAAAAGGATACTAAACAGGGGCTTGACTATACTAAAGCCAAACAATGATAATGAGACAACTAAAGAGAAATTAAATAAAGCTAAGCAGCTGGAATAGGAAATGGAGTGAGACATGAGCGAGAGGACTGGAGACAGGGGAGATGGAGTAGGACAGGGACAAGGACAGCACATGGTAAATAGCTTGTATTTGATATAGTGCCTTCTAGAGTCCTGGGACCCCCAAAGTGCTTTACAACACAATCAGTCATTCACCCATTAACACACACATTCACACGCTGGTGGTGATGAGCTCCGATGTAGCCACAGCTGCCCTGGGGAACACCGATAAAGACTTTAACTGGCAACATGAAATACACATTTTTGATTGGATGATGCATTACTAACTCTAAACAGCTGTTTGCGCAGATCTAGGTTTGTCTCATTAAAGCGTTTTATTTATCAGCACTGAGCGATATCATTCCTTATAGTGAAACTAACATGAAATGCACATGCTTGCGTGTGTGTGCATGGATGCATGTGTGTGTGTGTGTGTGTGTGTGTGTGTGCATGCATGCGTGTGTGTGTGGATGTGAGTGCGTTTGCATGCATGTGTGTGTGTGTGTGTGTGTGTGTGTGTGTGTGTGTGTTTGTGTATGTATGCGTGTGTGTATGTGTGTGCCTGTGCATGTATGCATGTGTGAATGTGCGTGCCTGTGCATGTGTGTGTGTGTGTGTGTGTGTGTGTGTGTGTGTGTGTGTGTGTCTGTGTGCATGTGCTTCACCTGACCTGCTGCTTTGTGCACATGTGGAATTCTGACTCTAGAGCTGTGACTCTGAAGTTTTCCATTCTTCACTAAATGTGTGGAACATTTGACGCCACGTAAATGTTAAAGCAATAACTTGTATATTTACTGCTAAAGAATCTTAAAGTGTCGCCCAAGTGGACAACAAACACTGCAGGAATGTGATGACATGAAAATAACCTCACATATAAAAACCTATCCATTCCTCTGACTCAACCATCTGCCTTCCTCTACTTCTTTGAGTTTGGCGGTGAGCTCAGATGTCACCCTGATGGACAGGTTGGCATCTGCTACCCTCTGCAGCTCACTATCCATTAAACCACGGTGCATTTGTAAGATTGTAAGTGTGAGCGAGCTGCAGAGGTGAGCAGAATATTGCAAACCAGATTAAGGGCACTCTGTCCTTCTCCCTCCACCCCTCCTCCCTTTTTCCTTTTAGCACCCTTGGGGGGCACTCCTCCTTTTCTTTTACTCCACCTTATCTTGAATAGACTCTGCCTTTTTTCTGCTTCTCTCTCTTCCTGTTCCTCTCAGTCTGACTCTAATCTTCAGCATGTCAAGCACATTTTATTAAATTCAGCGGTTACCCTGATTTGTGTTTATGTGAGGAACTTGCTGCCGCTGTGTCGAAGAGTTTAGTTTCAAAAGAAATTGCAGGTTGACCCCTCATGCAGAGAGCTCATCCAAACACCAACCCCAAAATAAATCATACCAAGTGGCCTGGCTTCCACACATACAAAGCAGATACAGCATCAAGCCATTTGTATGCTAAAAAGAAGCTGACTTTGAAGGGCTGTGGTGGCCAGCTGAGAGTCCTGATTGAGAGCACTGATGAGATGCAGAAGGTTGGACAAACACCCAGCAAGCTCTTTCCCTCCTAAACTCATCCTCGGCTCTGAGATTCTCCAATGAATCAGAGACGGCGGAGATGGAAGAGCAGAAGGTCTCTCTCCGGGTCTCTCTTTCATAAAATGTCATTTCTGAAGAGAAACATGTCTGCCAGTTGGAGCAATACCTTCACATGGCTGTCTTTTTCTTTTGTGAATCTTCTTACTCAGGCACAAAAAAGACAGAGCTGTATTTTATTTGTATTCTGCAGAACTTCATTACGGTAAAACCACAACAAATTTATTTCTAATTTATTTCCTCTAACGAGCAGAAGGACATACCGCCCACATCATTTGTCTGCTACCATAAAGGCTTTAATGATTGCCGGTGAGGTCTCGCAGACATTAATCCTTGCTGCGGACAGATAATTGCCTTCAGCAGAGGACCAAGTAGGTTAAAATTAATTCACTGTCAAAAATCATGAAATAAACAATAAAAAATATTCACTGTGTATACCGTGTTCCTGCTTTCAGAAAATGGGGATGAGTGACTCACAACAACATTTGCTGCACCAGGGATCATACAAAACCTGTATGTGCTAACCACAAAGCCTACACATCACAGCTGAGCATTAGTCTGGATCCAGTTCTAGAGTTTTATCTGTCATAAATCATCAATACTGCCAGCAGGGGGAGAGGATATGAAGGTAAGGTGCTGCCACATCTACAAACTCAGACTGGTGACTGCGAGGGCTCCACTAGCTCTGTTTTATAGTAGCAGTGTACACCATATATGGAAACTGCAGATTAGCATGAAGAAGGTAGGACAATACCCAGCTATGCAACAGGCGCTGAAAACCCAGAATAGACTTGAACACAAACAGGAAAGCATGCAGATCCAGGTCTAAACAGGTTATTTTGGACATACATTGAATAAAACATGATATGCAATCCCCTGCATTATTGCAACATCTCATGCAATAAGTTAACACTCACACTGTGTGTCATGACTGAATGTCACGTAAGCTTCGCCATTTAGGATATTTGATCATTTCCCGCTAGGACACTCCGAGAGTCTTACTAAGTTTTAGACAAATATGGCGTATAATGTTTAGAACTCAGAGATGACTCTCAGCAAATATGGCACCAAATGTGAGCTCAGTGCATTTAAACTGCTTACGCTAGAGCCATTTTGTGTTAGCTAAGGTCGAGTGGTTGCAGCAGGCACCTTCAGTCGGGTGAACGGGACGCATTAATGCATCACCGGACAAACAAAGGTGTGGACATTAATCCAGTTCATTCTTTTTAAGAGTTGTATTAAAATAAACAGAAGAATAAAATAATTCAGCGGAACAAAAAGACATGAAGGCCACATCCACCATCCACAGACCCTGTGAGCTAGTGTTCGCTGCATCATGATTTTTATTCTCAACTCGGTTTTATTCACAAGTAAACCGTGTTGCTATCAGTGCAACAGCATCCCAGTCTTCATTCCAAACGGATAAAAGCCCTTTACATAGTTCTAAATGAGTGATTTCCACTGCTTACATCATGAAGTCTCTCAACAACCCACCAAACTCCACAAGGAAAACTCCAAAATGGTTCTGGTGGTGCACAAGTCAGACAGTCAGTCTTGTGCTTTCTTTCTTATATATGTGAAACAATGTAATCCCAGAATCCGTGAACGTTATTCATGAGATGAAATGGATTGTAGGGTGGAGATTCTACTCACGTCTCAGTTCTGTAGGTGGAACATCTCTCCAGTGGGATCTTTAAAACTTTGTCATTGAGCCCGACAAAGAGTGACCTTTCGCTGTGCAGAATCTGCAAACTCAAGATTGGTTCTCTCACACCAGGTGGGAAGAGCTCCATCTCCTCCAGGTAACAGCCCTGCAGGTTCTTGTTGCGTGTAGCCAGTGCCTTCAGGATGGTGCCATATTCTAATAAAAGCAAAAGGACATTAAGCGTTAAACGCCACCTAACTGTTTACCAATTCTTTGTTGATGAAGTTCTCTACAGATCATGGGTATACGGAACAGAATAAGAAGAAATCAGAGGACCAACCTGTGCTAATATACATGACATGGTAAAGAGTGTCCATGCCCTGGACAATGTCCACAACCAGGTTAGAAAACCGAACATCATCTTGCATGACCAGCGGGTCGACAGATTCTGGCTGGACCACATCGTTCATCAGGTAAAGGCGCTGTGCGTCCTGCAGACTGCGCTCTGTCAGTCCCTCGTTAGGACCCTTGTCGTCTATCGTTCCACACTGCAGAGAATCACAGGCAGGTTTCAGAGGAGCAGACCAGCCAGTACAACAATAAAAGCTTGATACTTGGTGTCTTTCTTAAACTGGATTTTTGGTGCATTACGGTCAATTATTAACAGTCCCCGCCCAGTGAGACGCCGGCTTTAGAGAGACACTGAAGAGTTTTGTTGGTGCTGTGAAAATAAATTTCTATTATTTTCAGTGAAGTTTGGTGCTACAGAAGGTTCCGGTGGCAAAAAGTAAAATTTACACATTTTTCACACTGTATTACATTATGTATGATGCACAATAACAATATAAAAATAAATACCTGCAGCTTTATGAAGGAATGTTTTATAGTAACTTTGGTGCATCTAAACTTAACTGATCTAATAGTTGGCATTAGGCTCCGCCCACACTGTGCCTAATTCTTCTTTTTTTAAAGTGATTTTCTGCTACAATTGAAGCTCAGGGTTCACACACAAACAGATTTTGGCAACATAATCTGAGAATTTTCCCCGTGTCCCTGTGTGTGACTGTAAAGCAATCAGAATTGATGTCTGAGTGCCAAAAACAAGCCTTACAGTTTTATTCTCACAAGTGGAGCATTACAGATTCAGCTAAAATGTCCCACCTGATAGAGAACGGTATAAAAAATGCCTTTGGTTGTTTTTAATCACAACGGAGACCGAAATGAAAGAGAAACAGGGGAGAGGTAAGGAAGAGATCAGGGAAAAAAGTCCAGAAAAAAGAATGCACAGGAATCTGCTTCTAGATGTGCAGAAAGAGAAACAGAACCAAAATATCACAGCGCCAACAGCATGAGGGTATATAACAGCAACAGTTTCTGCTGAAAAGCACACAGTAATCATTCATAATGCATTTAGTGCCAACCACAGCCTTAGGCTATGTGTCGAAAACTCCCGAGTCCATACTTGTGAGAGCACCATGTGAGCGTACACGTGCTTGTGTGTGTAAAGCTGGGTGGACACTGTGCGACGTTTTCGCTCGTAGCACTCAGCTTCAGCTCAAACTACAACTTCCTCGCAGGGCAGATCTCACGAGTCATGTGCTCACACTGTACGACCCAGTTTTTGGATGCGACCTGACTGCTCACACTGTACGTCTGGTAGCAACACCTAAAAATGCTAAAAATAGCAGTTTTTACACAACACGTCAGATGTTTTTGTCTTGTCTGTTGTCCTTCAGGAGTGCTGCAGGAGGACACACTGGGATTTATGGGGGTTGGATGAGGAAAATGAAATAAAGGAAGTAAATCTGTGTTTTGTGATCAGTTTAACATGATCACGACAAACATGCTTTCTTGACAATCTTTGTGAGTAAAAAAAATGTGTAGAAATAAAAACGAACAACGTGAGTTATTAGGGAAATAGCGGGCGAGCGGTGTTGATGCATGATTGCGCATGTGCCGTGAGCGGTTCTGGTACTTTTTGGGTCGCAGCTGCTCGCAGCGCCGCTTCAACAGAGACGAGCAAAACATCAAACACGCCAGAAGTCTGTGTGAGCTCACGATTGCTGATCGGTAGCTGGTCACGTGGTGTTAATTGCCTCTCGTAACCCCCTGTACACTACACGACGCTCAGCGCAAAACACGCCCCGTTCTTGTGGATTCTCGCACCAGTGGAAAATCGGCTCAAAAAAGTGAAAAGTCACACAGTGTACGCCCGGCTTTAGGTTTCTCTATAGGAGTGTCCAACAGTGAGAGTGAGGGGCCACGGACCTGCCCTCAAAGAAAAAATGTTCTCTTAAGTTTATTAAAAAAACACACACACACATTCTGGCTGCGCTCATCCTCCCTGGAAATACAGAGGCCTTTAGAACCCATGACGTAATGCACATAGCTACTGGTACTTATGGATGCAACTGGGATTAGTTTTTTACTAAAGTTCCTGTTAAACTTTGAAGACAAACATAAATATTTAGGATAAAAACCTAGTTTTGGCACAATATGGAGTCATGTTTTTCTTTTCTTCTCTGTATTTTGATTCAGTGGTAAAGGTGAAGTATCTTAGTGGCGTAGTTATGGTCTAAATGTGAATTTACACTAAACCATGGCAGGCCTGTGAATATTACACTGGGGCCAACACTAATCTGACTCAGCCATTATATGTTGTGTATGGCCTGGGCTATCATATTTATGCAGATTATTGCCAGATCTACCTGGCTTTGAACAAACCCGGCTCCCTCTCTCTTCTGGACCAGTGTTTGGCTGAGGTGAGGGTTTGGCTTGCCAACAATTACCTGAAGCTGAATGATTCTAAGTTTGAGGCACTCCTCATGACCCCTAACAAAACCACACACTTATCTTCTGAGGTAACGGTGGCACAGGAGTTAAGTGCTCGCCCCGTAATCGGAAGGTTGCAGGTTTGAGCCCCCGCTCAGTCTGCCGCTGTAGTTGTGTCCTTGGGCAAGACACTTAACCCACGTTGCCTGCTGGTGGTCGGAGGGACCGGTGGGGCCAGTGCTCGGCAGCCTCGCCTCTGTCAGTGCGCCCCAGGGCAGCTGTGGCTACATCGTAGCTCATCACCACCAGTGTGTGAATGTGTGTGTGAATGGGTGAATGACTGATTGTGTTGTAAAGCGCCTTGGGGGGTTCCAGGACTCTAGAAGGCGCTATATCAAATACAGGCTATTTATCCTCTGATTTGGACACTCTCCCATATGACCTCAAGCAGTGTGTTACCAACCTGGGGGTGAAACTGGATACACACTTTTCCATGGGCCCCCTCAGATTAACGCAGTGGTCAGATCGTGTTTTTACCAGCTGCACAGACTAGTTCGCTTAAAACCGATGCTGAAACGAGCACACCTGGAATCCGTAATTCATGCTTTTATCATCTCCCGACTGGATTATGCAAATTCCATTTTAATTGGTTTACCTGCCTCTGCTCTTAACAGGCTTCAGGTTGTACAGAACGTGGCAGCCAGGTTTTTAACAAACATCCCTAGAAGAGACCATATCACACCTGTACTGGCGCGGCTCCACTGGCTACCCCGAAACTTCAGTCGTTTAAAATCCTGACTTTTGTTTTTAAGGCCCTGAACGGTCTGGCTCCGGATTACCTGTCTGATCTTATGACTCGTTATGTGCCAAACCGGGCGTTGAGGTCTGCTGATTGGCTGCTGCTTCGCGTTCCAATATTGAAATACAAAACGCGGGGGCTATGCTGCTCCGACACTCTGGAATGCTCTTCCTCTTTCAGTGAGGCTGGCACCATCCCTCCTCTGGTTCAAGACGCTACTTAAGGCTCACTTTTACGACCAGGCATTTTTAAATCCCTGACTTTTATTATTTTACTATGTGTCTTTTTATTGATCGTGATTATCTGCTTTGTTGTGTATTTTATTGTTGACCGTGTATTGTTTTATATTGTGTTTTTACTTTTTATTTTGTACAGCACTTTGGTCAGCTGCCATGCCGTTTTTAAATGTGCTTAATAAATAAAGTTGGTATGGAAAGTAAAGTTGGTATGGTGTAGTCCCATTATTGGTTACATTTACTAGTACTGTTGTGTTGAAATGTACGACCCCGATAATGGTAACAAAGACATAATCTGCTTTCTGTTGACTTCCCGTTTTCTCTTATCGTTTCATATATTTTCTCTCCTTTTCTGTGTTTTGTGGTGAAGCCCACCTGGAAGTTGTGGATGGGGTTGGGAGTTGGGAGCCAGGTGGAGCGGGGATTCTCCTGGGAGCGGAAGGGCCCGTTGAAGGCCTGGGTGATGGCGCTCAGGTTGAAGGCACAAACCGCTGATGCAGCGATGCTGTTGCTTTATGGAGAAAGGCACAGAGGGGAGAGGAAGATGTTATTTTAATGGTAATTGTGAGAATAGTTCAAACGCCGGCGGTAACTGAAGGCATATCAGAAAGCAGCAGCATGCAGCTGTGTGAGAAACATTCTGCTATGTTGTTGTTGTTTTTTATATCCTTGTAATGGAAATCATATCGTTTACAGCCGCACTAAACAGCCTCTGTGTGTCTGACTGGGATTGGCTGCAGGCTAATCCATGCTATCAGTGCTGCACAGTGTGACGGGACAGTATTGAGCTGAGGATATTGGAGAAAGTTGCACAGATTACACGCACGCACGCACGCACACACACACACACACACACACACACACACACACACACACACACACACACACACACACACACACTTACCTCTACAACATACAAAAGGAATCCACAGCGAAACCTCCAGTCAGGGAAAGCATGATCGTGATACTCTTTAGCCATGATAAGCTGTTAGCCAATGAGTTTCCTAACTGCCTTGCAACTGCTGACAGTTTTCCCCTTCACACACACTCAGCACAATGCGGAGACCTTTCCCGACATGGTTAGCCTCCTGCAGTTTTTGAATGCTTTGTGAGATATTGAAAGACCTCAATAGTTAGCTGCCTGCTGTCTCGGCTTCATCCATGTGACGCTGAAAAAGCGCCACTTATGTGGCGAATGGTAAAATCATGCTGATTGGGGCAGAAGCAAATGAAAGAAAGGATGTAAAAGCTGGAGGGAGAAAGAGAGAAAATTCACCTCTAAATTTGATAAAAGCACATCTCATATGGTTAAGTGCATCCAAAACAACCGTCTTTCCAGACAAACTGTTAAATGACGTAAACAAAGACTCAGCCTGGTGAGCAGTTTGCCCTGCGTGTGAGGCCATAATCGCTGCTGATTAATCCGTAGTACAATGAGTCCCTGGGGTTTTAAAAGGGTTATATTAATGAATCTCGGTACAGTTATAAATCATAAGTTGTGAGTCGTGGCTAGTAAACAGTATCTTCAAATCGCACAAGCCTTTTTCTGCCTTTTTAGAGTCAAATTGACTGATAAAGATGTTTCCTAATTGGCAGAAAATATGGCTTCAAAGCCAGAAACATGTAAATTAATAAGTTAAAGTCAAAGTCCCATTAGTTGTCACACACACTGATGTGTGTGCGAAATTTGTTCTCCGCATTTGACCCATCCCCTCGGGGAGCAGTGAGCTGCAGACACAGGCTCGCTCGGGAACCATTTGGTGCTTTAACCCCCCAATCCAACCCTTTAATGCTGAGTGTCAAGCAGGGAGGTGTTGGGTCCCTTTATTTTTTTCAAAGTCTTTGGTATGACCCGACCAGGAATCGAACCCTGATCTCCCAGTCTCAGGGCGGACACTCTACCACTAGTCCACTGAGCTGGTTTGTAGTTGTAGGAGACACAGCATGTAGGCGACACAGCATGACATCTTATCTTAAGTTATAATAGTTCTGTGGTCAATACCAAACAATGTTTATGACGGTATCTTGTACTAAATCTGTCTCACATTAAGTGATTTCAGCAGTTTTGTTCTGGACATTTTCAGCACCTTCCAGAATGAGTCGTTTCAGGGCTCTGTCACTTTAAAGAGCAAGTCACTCCAAATCAACATTTTTTTGCTGATAAACTATACAAATGAGTGTCTGATCGTGCTGTTGGCAAATGTAGTCAATAATTCGGCATTTTAGTTCTTGTTAGTTAAAATTTAGATATTCTGCCTAAAACTGTCAGCGATGCACCGCCGTCAGGTAAAAAACTCAGCACTGCATTTGAATTTAAATCTGCCATCGCTATTTGCTAAGAGGTACACTATGATGCTAGATGGTACATTATGATGTCAAAATGTCGTGAGTGTATATATTTGTTAGTGGCTCCACCCTCTTGGTCTGCTTGGCAACAGCATTTGTTGCATTTTTTCAAACAGGAAGTGGGAGTTGAGTAAGAATCTGGTAGGGGGTGACTTGCTCTTTAAGAAAACAAGCTGAAGCTGGCCACACCCCCACCCCTTAGGCTGTGGCTCTCTCTAACACATGAAAGGTGGTTTAATTCTCATTCCCCTGTTTGTGACATCACAAACGGGGACTTTAAAATGACAGAAAACTGATGGAAGCTTTTTTCCACATTTGGAGTGTTTATATAGATTTCATTGTATAATGTTTTACCATCTGCAATGAAAGGCTCATGAATAGCCTCTGTTTGGAGTAATTGAGCAGGAATCCCTCAGAACTGTTGAGTGTTTTTAAGTTGAGGTGATACATCGAGGCAGGAATCGCAGGAAGGAGGAGGAGGAGAGGCACCAGTTTGCACATTCTTAGCTCAGTGAGACAGTTTGACAGGAGGCTAAATTGCAGGTGTGTGATTTGTAGCGTCCAGTCTCTCCCACGAAGACGTCCAAAATATAAAGGCCCTCGAGGAGTACAGACGCTTCTCTTTCACTCCCTTATCTTTTTTTCCCAAGGCTCTTTGTCCTGTCTGCCCACAGAGCGCTTCTCTGCATTTCTTCTGAAAAACCCTATTTTTAACCATGGATTTGTTAAACTGGTCATTCAATGCGATCGATAAGATTTTTTCAACAATGAGAACGGAGCAGGGGGCACCCACATGTCCACAGGGGACACACATAGTGGGATATATTTTGGATTCCTGGAAGGAGTGGAAGATCATATGCCTCTCCCAGCTGTCCATTGAGGACATTGAAGACATGTGGATATTCGGCCTGATGATCACTGGATTTCTCCTGATTGGAGTGGGAGGATATCTGGTTTTCTGGAAATTTGGGAAGACGGGAGCAATTGGAGGGCGACCTGCACCCACGGAAAACACCGTCCGTGTGGAGACTTCTCAGACTGGGACGTTACTCGAGGTGAATCGTAAGCTGGACAATGTTCTAGCTGCGATACCGGTATTAGTGCGCAAAATGGATGTCATCTCGGAGAGAGTCACCAGACGGTATGGACAAGTTTAAAAACCCAAAATTGGCTTCACTGAAGGACTGGAATGATCAGTTTAAAGACTGAAGGCTGAGATGAAAAGTATCTCAGCCTGACCCAAACAAATTCTTGTTATCTTTATCTGACGCCCTGGTAGCCTTGAGCCGCAAGCAACTAAAACCCCCACGAAGGAATGCAGACAGATGCTGTGAAAACCCGACCTACCCCCCCCCTCGGATTGGTGGACTTCACCCTGGCGAGGTCATCAGCTTGAGGAGTCAATGTGCTCTTTGCTTCTCCCAAGATCTCCCTCCCACCTGTGACTGTACAGTAGATGAGCGCCGTAGAGGGCTGCTCTCGCTGGGGGAAACAGGATCCCAGAACCCCCCTCCCGCCTTCCTGTTGGAGTCTCATGATATGTTGTGTTGTCTGAAGTCTGTTGCATATCTGTTTGAGGTGTCTTTTTGCAGAGCAAAGCTGCCCTCCCGGTGGAGGGTAACTCTGAAGTGCCTTTTTTTCCCTCCACCTGAACCAATCCTCATGTAACCCTCTTATCTTTATTAAGGTAGCGCGACTCAGGGTTGTGAATGACCACAGTCACCAATTCTTGTCATGTATCTTGCCCATGTATATCTGATCTCTGAATTGTGTGTACTGCAACTCTAATTTCCCTCTGGGATTAATAAAGTATTGATTGATTGATTACTGTCCAGATTTTTTGTGAGCTCTGCTTCTTTGGGAGCAAAAACGATGCTCTGAGAAAAAGAGTCAGTCTCACTAACGGATGCAGGCCATATGTTTTGAATAAGTTTGAGACGAGAGAAGCGACCGAGAAGCAGTTTGACATCTGCTGTGCTGTTTGCTGTTGCTGCCCTGCTGCCTTGTGAGGCCCAGGACCATGAAGATCTCCATCTTCCTGCGATTCATCTCCTTCCAACAGATCCTGCTGCTACTTGTCATTTCAGACACTTCTTGATTTCCCAAAGTGATCTACAGAACTCATCTCTTGTGCTCCTCTCTGATCTTCACTTTCTTTTCATTTTCCTCACTATCCTTCATATTCCACAAGTCTGACTTCCTCATTAGGTGCCTTTGGTGAGTTCTCTCTGTGTCTTTTATAAGTGATAGGCAGGAAGAGGCAAGAGCAGAAGGAAAACTTTATTTATCAAATGTTTATTTATGAAATTTACAAAATGTTGGCCGTGCACGTTTGTTCGTGCACTTATTTTAATATCAGCAACATAGTTGTTTAACAGAATTTATCTCCAGCCTCTGTAAGCGAACTGTTCAGATTATCAGTTCAATTCTGTATATTTCTATATTTGGTGTTTTAGCTGAGACTCATTCAGAATTAATCCTGTGAAATCTTGATTTTTATCATTAAGATTTGACCAAAATTGCTACACCTCCATCATTTTTAATTTTAAGACATGAAAAGAAGCTGATGCCTTTACCGCTGTTGGATCACAGAAGCTGTCTCCAAGCTTAAATAGCTTTTAACAAACACGTTTATAAAGAAAAAAACAAAAACTAGTTCTCTTTTTGGAAAAAGGCTGATGTCTGATTTTATCATTTAATCACCTGGTGGCCAAAATCATCACCAAACAGACCCAATTAGGTTCTGAAGCCTGGCATTAGCAGATTATTCATCTGAGCTGCAGGACTCCAATTATTACAGTCGGCACTCAGACCACAGTTTACTTTGACTCCTCCAGGGTTTCCCTTACATAGGCGTAGCTGTGGCGGCCCGCCACGGCTGAAATCCCACCGCCACGCCTACAAGATCCCAAGTTTTTTTTTTTTTTTTTTGCGCTGTTTCCCGAAGAAGCAGCGGGAACTACTATGTTGTCGCTTGTGATCACAGCCTGGCGGCAGCAAGGAGGAACAGGCAGGGCAAGGTGCAGTTACAGCATAAGTTACTGAGTTCAAAATTAGAAAGGTAGCAGTGGATATAATGCTTTTTGGTTTACATTTTCAATAGCATTAAGATAAACGAGTGTTGACGATCTTGCCAGGATTCCTTCCCCCACCAGGCTAAGCATC